TGATCTCCTCCTTCACTTTGGAGTTCAAATTAAATCAAATAAAATTTGTTGTTGCGAGGTACTAACTAAACTACAAAAACACTATGCACCCTCTAGTGTCCAGATGTGGAATAGCATTTTAATACCTGAAACTGCCACAGTCCAACAAGAACGTTTAAATGACAGGTTAACAAATACAAACATAAACAAACAAAAAACTTTAGGTTTGGCAGTTTTTCCTCTGTTTGTTTTCAATGCCATGTTTTAACAGACAGCTATTTTCAGCTCTTTACACGGACACTAGGGAGAAATGCAAAAGTAGAGCACACAGCATGAGGGGATGTATGACAGCGATGTGACACTGGAGACTTAAAGACAACATAATTAGGGAGATGGAACTAAAACTGAACAAAGAGACAAATAAGATGGGAAGTAACACACACTGAGACCCAGACTAAGACGTGAACTAGACACTGGGACCAGGAATAAACAGATACATGACAGACTGGAGAGACAAAGGATGAAACAAGACAAGAGAGGAAACATAGACAGAACACAGACCAGACAGAGACATGACTGAGCTGAGGGAGAGAGACAGACACAGAGACATGAAATAGATGGGTAAATAAACATGGAGACGAGACTGACTTTCATAGGAGACGCTGAGAAGAGACAAACAGAGGCGAGACAAAGAAGGAACCTAATAATATCAAACAAGAGACCAGAAAGACCGATAAACCCAGAGACACTAAAATAACTAAACTCAAGACTAAACCATACGAAGTTTGAACTTCAATCATCTTCTGAATGTAGAGGAAAGAATCATGAATCCAAAATAAAACTCTAAACACTGTCAAAGACCCAGGACAGGAGCTGCCTGCAGGGCTGAACATTAGTTTGAGTCTGCTGTTCATGCCAGCACGACCACACTGACAGATCCTGGTTGAAGGTTTGAATGCCATCCAACAGCAGTGACCAAGCTGATCAGAAGAATAATAATTTATAATAATAATAATAAAATAATAACATGCTCCTGAGGCCGCTGTTTGTTAACTGTCAGTATGTGTTTCTTTAATCATCCGTCCATCCAACCAACAACACCAAACAACTCAACACAATTTGACTGCTTAAACCACAAATGTGTTATTGTAGACTTGAGTCGTGTCCAAATTCATGGGCTGCATCCTCCTGAGGACCCGGCCTTC